CTGTGCTCCTTTCCCGCGGAAGCTGAGCAGGATGGGCAGCCCTGAGGCAGCTCCCAGGATCCGGGGCCCCTCTGCCACAGGCCTGGCCTCACAGATTCCTCCTGCCCGTATGGCCGTCCTATCCCCTCCCAGGGAAGTCCTCTTGGGCCAGGACCGCCACACCAACCACCCAGGGTCAGACCCCTCCCTCTCCTGTCCTGAGCCGTCACAGCCACTCAGGTGGGCCTGTCCGGGGCTCTCCTGCGACCCCAGGATGAGGCCACCCCAGCAAGGCTTTGGGACTTTCTCTGGCACAAGTTGGAGTGGCTTGAAGATAAGCAGGCTTAGGGTGGGACCAGAGCAGGAGGGTTGCCAGGCACACCTGCCAGGGGCAGAGCTGCGGGGTCCTGCCCAGTGGTCATGCCATGAATCTGCCAACACCACCCCACTTCGGTCTCCTTCCCCTTCCTCATAGCTCGGTCACCTGGGCCCCGGGGCTCTGGGACGTGTCACCAACGTGTCTATTCCTGCCTCCGCGGGCACCTTCACTTGGGTCAGTGTTGGTCTGACTCCCTCGACTCCTTCCTTCTTCCCCTTCCCTGTCCAGGGCCCTCCTCCCTGCAGAGCCCCGCTATGGGGAGGGCGGACGTGGTCAGCTGCCACTCACGTGGCTCTGCTGCGTGGGCTCCCGGCTTTGGTGAAAGTGGCGGAAAAGCCACGTCCTAGGACTTAAGCAAAGACTGAGATTCTGCAGGGCCGAGCCTGAGACACTGATTCCGGCTTGAGGGACAAGCTGCCATCACCAGGGGCCTCCCACGAGGGTTCCCCACATCCCACTGCTCTCAGAGACTGTGCTGAGGGAAGCACCAGTGGCCAAGTCATGTCCTGTATAATTAGGCCCAGCTTACCTGTTTCAGCCTGGGTGCGAGTGGGCTGGAGGTATGGCCGGCAGTGGTTCCCTAAATGTAATGGTACGAGGGGTGGTTGACGATGTCACCCTCTGGAGTCAGAAGAAGGGCAGCTCAGAGAACACTGGGGACCTGCCCGAAGCTCTGGGCCAGTGCCCGGCGTGCCTGGGTCTCTCCCCATGCCTGGCACCCTGCAGGGCTAGAAGGCCCCCCACTGACCAGCACCCTGTGCTGCCTCTCCGCACTGGGGCTGGGAGCAGCCGCTGGCCAGGGGAGGGGTGTGAGCTGGGGGGTCGAACCCCAGGGGATGTCCCAGCCCACACAGAGATGTGCTCGCCGCCACCCCAAAGTGAAGACTCTTTGAAGCTGATTCAACAGCTTAAAACCCAAGGACTTAATAGCAATCCTTTCTGTTAATCTCATCTCTCACAGGCCATGGAGGGAACCACGACACCTATCTGGCCCTCCATTCTCGGGAGGGGATCTGTCTCCTTCCAGGGGGTCCACACCTAGCTGCCCTCCTGCGCACAAACCAGCTCAGATGGACCCCCGACAGCAGCCCAGGGCGGCACAGAGACATCACCCCGGGAGCCAGCCCAACCTGCCCAACTGGACCCCCTGTCCCATGGAGGGCCACCAAGGCCTTCAGAGATGCTGCCCCCCTGCCTTCCAAAGCCCTCAGTTCTTTCTTCCCAACCTCTCTGTGTTCCTCCCTCAGCCCCTTTGGAGTGGCCCCTTCAGAATCCCTCCTGCCCCGCGCGTTTAGTTTGTGACAAACTTTGCCACCTCTGGCTCCAGCTGGAAAATAAAGGGGTTTCCATCTCCCTGCAAATGCTGGCTCTGAAGAGACAGTGGTGCGATGCACTCCGCTATGGCCCAGGACAGGGGCGCTCACTCGCCCGGCAGCACAGGCTGAGCTGGATGCTCAGGGGGTGCCCACGGACTCCCACAACTCCTCAGTCTGGTCTCATACAAAGGATGCGTGTTCTTCTATTAAAATCATATTGACCCTAATCCTTCTAGCAACAGGCTTCCCGCCTGTTCTCCTCACGGAAGGCCTCCCCGATTGGCTTTCCTCATCCTCCTTGGCTGTGGCCCCCAAAAGTCTCCCTGTGATTCCCCAGAAGGACGTTTGTGTGGGTGAGTGAGTTCCCGTTTATTCTGCCACAGATGGATTGATGGGTGGGTGAGTGGACGGATGGGGCAATGGGTGTCTGGTGGGTGGGTAGGTGGGTGAGTCAATGGAGGGGAGGGGTTGGGGCTGTATGCCACTGTGGACAGTGTCTTTCCCAGTTGACTTTAAAAACATTTTAATTAAAATATAGTTGATTTACAATGCTTCAGGTGTACAGCAAAGTGATTCAGTTATACATATATATAAATATATGTTCTCTTTCAGATTATTTTTCCATTATAGATATTATAAAATAATGAATATCCCGGTTGACTTTTTAAAGTTTATTTACTTTTAATTTGTTTGTTGCTGTTGAGAGGGGAGGTAATTAGGTTTATTTGTTTAATTTTAGAGGAGGTACTGGGGATTGAACCCAGGACCTCATGCAAGCTAAGCATGTGCTCTACCACTTGAGCTACACCCTCCCCTCCATCCCAGTTGACTTTTAATATTGCTTTTGAAGGACATGGGCGCAGGCCATCTAGCCTCGGGAGGCCACGTGCTCCACTCTCAGCCCCCAGCAGACTCCAGCGCACGGCCTGGCCCAGGCTCTCTGCCTGGTGGCTCAGGGCCCCTCGGCCTTGCTTGCTGGCCCACAGGGCAGGCCTCCCTCCCGGTGAGGCTCCCAGTCCCCTCTCTGAACCTGCATGTGGACATCTGGTGGAGTGGTCCCATGACATGGGCACTGGCCGGCACCTCAGATACACTCTGTGGCCTGCCTGGGCCTGCTAGGGACGAGTGGGCTGCGGGAGGCCACCATGGGGGTGGAGGAGGCCAGTGTCTGTGCTGGAAGCTGGCTCCTGGATTCCCCTTGCTGACAGTGCACATCAGGGTCAGGGCCTCTGTGGGTCTGAGGGTGCTGACAGAGCCGGGAGGCCTGGCCCACTCCCTCCGAGTAGCCCTCTGGCTTCCCCAGGGCACCGGCCTTGTGCCCCATCCAGCAGATCCCGGGTGCTTCTGGCGCTGGCTCTCCCTTCCCTTTTGAACTATTCTTTTTCCATCTGAACCTCAATTGCTTCCCAGGCCTGAGGAAGCCAGGAAGACCCCTCCCTGCATGTGGGTCAGACTCCATCCCTGTCCTGCCCTTGTCCTCTGGGCTCTTCCCCTGGTACTTGCCCTGGGCCTCAGGCGATGGGGGTGGCGCAGTCTTAGGACCGGCTCTTGTGGACGACCACTTAGGAAAAAGAATTTTTCTGCATATCCAGCCTGGACAAGGACCCATCCAAAAGCAGAGCCCTCTGCCCTTCCTGCGTCTTCCAAAGCTGCCCTCCCCTATGCCTCAGAGCTGCCCCGGTGCAGTCCAGCCTCTCCCCACCCAGGCCTTGCCTGGCTTCTGGGAGGCCCTGCTCCATTCCTTCAAGATGTGTGCTTCTCGGAGCGTAAGTGGAAGTCAGAGCACATCACCCCTTTCTCTAAACTTTGCCTTAAAATAAGAAACCAACCCCTAACTTTGGGCCCCCAGGCCCCATAGGATGGGCTTCTGCCAGCTTCTCCTCGTTCCACCCCCCCGAGGCCCCCTCCTTCCTTCTGACCCAAGGCCTTTGCCGCCAATCTTTCTCCCATGCAGAGCTCTGTCCATGTGTCACTGCTTACAGCAGGGACTGTGGCCTGTGAACCCTGCTGTGTCCCAGAGCTTAAGACCATACGTGGCTCAGAGCAGGGCCTGGGGCTACTGCAAAGCCCGATGCCAAAGGGCAGTGGTGAGACCAGGATGGAATCGAGGGACACTCACGTGTGCCCTTGGCCTAATTCCTCCTAAAGGAAGTAACGCACAGCTCTCCGGTAGAAATGAATGGGAGCATGGGGCTGGGACGAGGGCAGGTGGGGCGGCGGGGTGGGTGGGCACCCTGTGAAGGGCTGGGGCTGGAGAGGAGGAGACCAGAGCCTCCCGGGGGTGGGAAGGGCTGAGGGGCCCTGAGGTGGGGACGCACCGTCGCCTGGCGGGGTGCCTCCTGAGGGCGCCCTCCCCGACTGAGGGCCCGTTCACACCTGCAGTCTCGGGTGTTCTGGTGAGTGAGGGCAGGACTGGGGCCTGATGACACTCGATGCAGCCCTGAACATCCAGCCCAGGCAGGACCAGAGGAGCCCAACCGGGTGAGGGCAGCCCCACCTGGAACTGGGCACAGTGGGGACACTGGTTCCCACCACTTGTGGGCGCATTTGGGGCTGGGTGACCAGGCAGGCCTCCTGATGGCTGTCACCTGAGTTGAGATGTCCATTCAGGGAAAGTGGCAAAAATTCAACCAGTGAGACTGTTGGGTTAAAATGTCCAAACCCAATGGGGGTCTTTTCTGTATTCACATTTAGAATTATTATAGAGGTAACAAGTACGGCAAAGCCACCACCACCAGCTACCTTTGTGGAGAGGGGTTCTGCCCACGAGAGTTGAAAACAAGGCCGGGACAGCAGGCGTTGCAGCTGGGGGTGGTAGGCACCCAGCAGGCCCCCGAGGACGTGGGAGAAGGCCTGGCCAGGGCAGGCACCGGGCCTGGAGCACGAGGGGTGGCCGTCGTGGCTCCTGACCTTTGCTGGC